TGTGTGTGTGTGTGTGTGTGTGTGTGTGTGTGTGTGTGAGAAAAAGTTTGTCCACATCCTGAAGAAAGATGTTGTGGTGTCAGAGTGACGTAACGCTGAGCTGTTGCTTTGAGTGGGTGTCGGGCATGAATGCGTGGATGTGGATTGAGTGCGTGTCCCTTTGCGCGCACACAGAGCTGTTCTCGGGTCATTGTTCTGGCCTTCGCTGAAGTGTCGGGTGTGTATTTACAGTCCTGTCAGGAGGTAACAGAGGGAGGAGGAGGAGAAGTAGCTGACACAGAGGAGAGAGCCATGCTGTCCCTGAGCTGTGCCGACCCGTGGGCCGAAGGCTCCGTGGGTCTGGAGGAGGAGGTGGTGACTGCGGCGGCTCAGGCTGAGGAGCGGGACGGAGTCAGCGGCACCGACAGCAGCAGCTGCTCCGTCAGCCTGGACGACAGCCTGACCAGCCTGCAGTGGCTGCAGGAGTTCTCCATCCTCGGCACCAACGTGCCGCATCACACGCACCACCAGCACCACCTGTTCGGCCACCAGCAGCTGGGCTCTGACGCGCCAGCCTCCCCCCTGGCCGGGGATCCGGCCTCCATCGGGATGCCGCTGACCCCGGGGAAGCCCACGGCGGCGGCCTACAGCAGGATGCAGCCACTGCCCGGCATCGTGGCGCACGGACACTGTCCGGACGACGTGGACTACAAAACCAACGCGCACATCAAGCCACCGTATTCCTACGCCACCCTCATCTGCATGGCCATGCAGGCCAGCAAGAAGAGCAAGATCACGCTGTCCTGCATCTACAAATGGATCACCGACAACTTCTGCTACTACCGCCATGCTGACCCCACCTGGCAGGTAACGGACCCCCCACCCACACACACACACAGAGGCAGTCCACCTGAGACAGGATGTGCCACCTGCTGCACTCATTGTGTGAAAATGAGTTTCTCTCAGGTCACATCACAGCTGGATGTGTTTCTGTTTGAGAACAGAGGTCTGGGCCTGCTGCCACTTGGCTTCGTGTGTAATTAATAACTGAGGCCTAAAACACTCAAACTTTAACAGGATTGCACTTTTTGTTTTCCTTTTTTAAGCAGCATAATACCTGAAATCAGCTCAGTAGGAGTAACCGAAGCAGATTCTTTCTCATGAAGGCAGCAGCAGTTTTTCAGAAAACTTTAATTCTGTTGGATCAATGATTGATGAAGCCGTTCGCTGCACTCCCAGAGTTTCAGCCTCAGACATTTCAGAGCATTTTGTTATTGTAAGGCAGTACATGGGGCAGATAATATTTAACAAAGGTCACAGGGTCAGCGCTCTGTTTAGACCTGAGTGGAGAGGGGCTGGATGGTTGAATGCAAGGATACATTATAACTGACTACAATGCTCTGCTAGCTGTACTTCCTGCACCACAAAAAGCTAAAGTCTGTTGCTGAAAAGACACTTAAAGGTATCTGAACCTAAAAAGCTACATACCAGCAGCTTTATAGCAACTCATGTGTGTTAAAATAAAGATGTAAATATTGTTACCCAAGCCAAAAATGGAGGGATGCCTGAAAATAAAAGAATTAAATTAAGATTAATTTTAAAGGATCATAAAAGGAAACATGAGCGGGCAGGTTAGCTCACAGGTTTAGCAGGTGTGCTAAAGGCAGCATACTGGGATCAGCTCCAACCTGACATCCTTGGCTCTCTGATTTCCTGGCTTGAGGCAAAAAAGGACTTCAGATATAGTACACATGTACCTGTATTACTTTAAAGGAGATTTCTCTGCCATTTATTCTTAGCATGAACATTTAGGAATTCTTTTTGGCTTTTTAGTAACATCCAATTAGTTCTAGAATTTCACTCACTAAAACTGGAGCTCAGACCTGTTGGACGGTCTGTTAGTGCAGTAACTTCACAGCATCCATATTATTGGTTAGATAATTAAAAAGGCTCCAAAAGGCTCCAACAGCACAAACATGGTCAAGAGATTTAGTTCAGGGTCTCTAGCTAGCTGAGGAGAAGCCTAGCAGACAGCTAGCAGACAGCCGCCTGTGTCACCATACACCTGTCAGTCACAGAGGCCACGCCTCTAATAATGCAAACTGTAATCCAGAGTTATCCAAACATTCTCCCTTGTACAGTTATGAGGGGGGAAATTATCTACACAGACTGAAACAGTTTTTGTAAACATGTTACTACCATTATGCTAAGCTAAGCTAACTGTTAAGCCAGGCTGCAGCTTCAAATGTGCTGAACACAAATAAGAGCAACATCAATCTGATGATCTGAGCTGAATGAAGACAGTGTGTGAGCTGTTATTTAAAATATACATTCCTCCTTCCAGAACTCGATCCGACACAACCTCTCGCTCAACAAGTGCTTCATCAAGGTGCCGCGGCAGAAGGACGAGCCCGGGAAGGGGGGTTTCTGGAAGATTGACCCGCAGTATGCTGAGCGCCTCCTGAGTGGTGCCTACAAGAAGAGACGAATGCCGCCCGTCCAGATCAACCCGGCCCTGCGGAACAGACTCGGGGTGAACATGCAGCCTCAGCCCAGAGGGCAGATCGGGCTTTGCGTCAACCCAGAGTCCCAAAGGCTTCTTCGAGAGTTCGAAGAGGCAACGGGGGCTGATCAGAATTGGGACCCCCATCTGGCTGAGGGGACCATGCTGGGGTCCTGGCCAGTGGTCAGGGGAAGGAGTGGGCTCAAGAGGAAGCAGGGCTCTAAAAATGGTGCTGCCAAAGCCCCCCGTCGGTCCAGCTCCCCTCTGCTCTCCATGGATGAACAGAAGGAGATTGGACCTCTGAAGGGAGACTTCGACTGGGACGCCCTTCTGGATTCTGCCCTCAGCGGGGAGCTCACTTTGGAAGGTGGTGAGCCTCTGAGCCCCATTATGAAAGAGGAGGACCTAACAGTGCGGGGAACCCACATTTCTCCTGTTGAAGCCCCTGCAGGCTCAGCAGAGGCAGAGAGGAGTAACAACATGTCTGACTTTGATGAGGAGACCTTCCTTGCCACAGCCTTCCTGGAGAACCCCTGGCCAGAAGAGGAGGCGGATCATGGCCGCAGTGATTTCCTCTGTAGCTCCACTGTCAACTTAGACCAGCTGTTTGGGCTCGAGGACCCATTAGGTGGGGACCCCAGCAGGATGGACACCCTCCTTTAAGGAATAATTTCCAGGTCGTCTTACAAACTAAGAACGCTTCTCAACACAACCTGGGAATAAAATACTCTTTTTTTATCCTCATGCAAGCTTAACCGTCCTTTTCAAGATGTTTAAAGTATTTTTAGAGGAACATTTTTACGCAGGTTCAATGCTGGAAATAAACACTCAATGCCTACCGAACAATGATGCCACAATGTACAGCAGCAGTTCATATTCCACAGAGAAACTACACTGAATGTTTTTTTCCTTTTTTTTGTGAAATGACAGTTTTCAGAGTGAAGGCCTGGACACACCAGAAGGCAGCACGGTAATTTTAGCGTCATGTTTCCCTTCGTGTGTTTGTGAGAACACGGGGCCAGGGGTGGACGGTGTTCCTGCTAAACGAGTTTCACATAATGATGTAAACATTTGTTTAAACTACATTTCCAGCGGTCATTACCCCTCACAAGCACTGATTGCTGCCCTTCAGTAAGCTTCCAGAAGTTGGCCAATCATTGAGCTGTTAGGGAGGGTGTAGTTTAAAGATGCTGGAGCTAAATGCAAGTAGACTTTATTTCTAGTTTAATGTCCATTCAAACTGATTCAGACGTTTATGTTCTTACATAGAGCTCCTACAGATAATGCTAATAAGTTAGCCAGTCACTAGTCCACTCAATCATAACAGGAAGATGAGAACCCCCAAAATAAACTCTCTCAAAATTACACAAAAACACTGACAGTTCGTTATGTTTTATACTCGGTTTACCACTACGGAAAAGTGTGGATTTGGCTGCATGTGGTCTCTGGCAGTTGATATTGTGAAATTACTTAGAATAGGAACACAATGCCACACCACAACCTTGTTGTGCTTGCTTTGGTTGCTAGCAGGTTGCTCCTCCCACCAGCAGTTTGCATGGAACTTGTCTGCAAACACACGTCAACTACTCACCAAGCGGTAATGAAACTGTGAGAAGTGCAACGCTAACTGGAATCAGAGACCGTATGGCTTTTCATTTTGGCGATAAAGCACAACTTTTATTTTATACAATCCACCGGCAACCAAAACCACTCCATCTGATCAGAGAGGTCCACATTTTCTTTCAGAAATAAACAGCTAACAGCATGAATCCACCAATCGGCACAATTTTATTGGAATAAATTGATCTCTGGTGTGACCAGGCCTTACAGACGACACAACATGGTCTCTGTTTACATCACGAAAGTGTTTTATTGTGAAAAAGGAGATCATGTTGCCTGAAAGATATTTTCAGTGAACAGTTGATCAACTAAGACTTTTTTTTAATTGTTAAAGTGGAATCAGGAGTAATGCTACGACAGACTGATGATGAGATTTTTGCCAAATTATGTTCTGTGTAGATGTGATTTACTCATTTAGTTTTCTTGTCTTTTTTTGGCGTGGGATTTTTTGGTACTAACTCTTTATTTTCAGAATGAACTAGCACAACTTTAACAAATTATTCATGTTAGCTTAACTTTTTCCAGAAAAACAGACTGACGTATATGGCTTGTAGAAGTAACGGCTTTCTTTCTTCCTTCCTGTGACTTTGTAGCCGGTAGATATAAAGAAACGCAGCAGAGGACGCATCACAGCTTCGCGGTGTAAAAGTTAAAATAAACACAAAGCAGCCTGAGGCAAAATTCTCCAACAAAGAATCATTAGGAGCTTAAAATGCACAGTTTAAAGAGGCCACGGTGGCTTGTAAATGAATACCTGACCTTCTATGTGCCAAGAACAACACTTGGGACTCGACGGGGCGGCCGTGCGCGTTTTACTGCAATGAGGAAATGTTTTTGTGTTGGTGTGCGATAAAGTTTGGGACTGCTGGACGTGAACAAAAGAGCTCGCTGGATTCAGACTAAACCAAATCACGCTGCATAAGGACGGGGACAGTCTTTAACTGCTGAGATGCAGTAACTGTTCTCTAAACATGTGTGAAAGTGCAATCATTGTACAGTGATATTTGTTATATGTTACAGTCATTTGTTGGAGTCCATTCATGCTGTTTACTTCAGAGAGACCAGGCTCACTGTTTTGTGTATTCGGAGGTGTGAATACACTCGAGGGACTCTCAGTAAAACCAGCTATGGTTGTGTTTTAGCTCGTCTCAATCAAATAACACTTTAAACCACAATAATGGGATCTTACCTCATGATTGGTTCTATGCTGATGTTAAAACGCTCATGTATTCTTCTACCTTTTTGTTTTTATTTTATTTTTTAACTTTTCTTTGACAATAAAAAATGTTTTACTGCATCTCGCTTGTCTACTTGACACATTTCCTCATTTTTAGTCATGAAGGCTCTTTCAGTTTGACTGCCAAAAAAGGCAGTTCACGGTCCTCAGAGGATAAACTCTTCTATCAAAAACCTCCAAGCCTCTCACTCATCCAGTCACACGTAAAGTTAATGTAAAGGCTGAAATGTTTTAAAGGCATTCGTGGTCCCCAGAGGATAATCAAAATGACTTTTGAATCTTTAACTTTTCTCTAGTCCAACCACGAGGTTATCGTCTAAGAAGAACAGCTCCACGGCTCTGGTGGGGATTCCTCTGGCATGTTTAGATATTCGTGGTCCCCAGAGGGTGAATCTTAATGATCTCAACTGTAACAGCTAATCTGTAGCACAGTTATTCTGTAAAGTCTGGAAAGGCATTTGTGGTCCTGAGAGGGTGACTTCCTGCATGCTAACGGTCTGGACTGCTGTGACACTCGAGCTTTAACTCAAATAATTTTGGTGATGCCATGACCACAACCAGACCAAGCTTTCACTCATTTATTAAAATACATCAACTGCTGCTTGTTGGATTGGTACATAACTCATTCAAAGTCCCCCGAGGGTGAATCCTAAGGCTGGTGGTTATGAAACAGGAAGTTTTTCTCTTAAAACAGTCACTCTGGATGGATTGTGATGATAGTTTCTACAGATATTCATAAAAGAGCTTTTTCTTTTTCATCAGCCGGTCTATGACTGCGATGGTCGAGGTATCCAAATGGGAACAGGACAGCCCTGATGTTTTGTCTGGATATTCTTGGTTTCTGCAGGATACATTTGAGTGATTTTCTGATAGCTTTTCACTTATGCTGTGTCCTATCGACTCAACAGATCAGTCTGTAAGGAGTAGTGGTTTGTTCCCTGAGGATGAACCCCATCCTTAGCTGTTGGATGGATGTGATGAAGATTCATGCAGAGCTTCGTGCCATTTTCCACGAAGCGCTGCGCATTTGATATTTTCCAAGAGTATTATTTTCTACGATCTACTTTATGGATGCTGAAAGATTCGGCTTCTCGTTAGTTTGTATTTTATTTTATTTATTATTTCAGCTTTAGTTTTTATTATTTGAAAATATTTCGTTACATTGACAGTTTTAGTATGTTTTTATTCAGTCTGGATATCACAGTATAAACAGAACATTTAAAAGCAGTGGACTAAACCCTCATCAGACAGTAAACAAGTTAACAAATACCAAATCCACAGATATTTCTGCTGTAATTTTATTTTACTGTAGTTTCCAAGATCACTAAAATTATTTTAGTTGGTTTAAATAGATTTTTTAAATCTAGCGTTTATGTTTACATGGGTCCGGTTTTGAGCGCCCGAGGATAACCTTAAATGACTTTGGTCCTCTGTTATATTTACAATCCATCAGCAGCTTTTTTCCTCGGGACTTCATGTTCCCCTCAGGATGAAATATTATAATTTGAGACTTTTCATTGAGATGTATTTTAATTTATGGTGCAGTTTTACCACATTTATTGGCTTATGACCTGAATGAAATGACGACGAGCAAACAGGGTAATCTGAAACAGTCGCCGTGCTGAGCTGCTAATCATCAGCACGTTGTCATTGTGAGCATGCCTCCGGGGCTGTTTCATGGCTACGTGGTATGTCTTGTTTTCTCCTGCTCGCTGTCTGTTTCGGCCCTCACCCCCCTCTGCTTTAGTGCGCCTGGGCGTGAGATTTACGCTGCTCTTTTCCTGCTCGTCTCTTTTGGGGCTGTCGGTGTGTTCAGGCAGTAGATGGGTAATAGTAGCGGGGGGTGGCTGGGTTTCTGTTTCAGGGCTTTGTCTGTGCTCAGTCAAACTCTTGTTCCCCATGAAGCTCAGATCTGTGGTCCCTCATTGGGGCGGTGTGGGGTCTAACGGGGACAAGTGTCCCACGGCCCCATATATCACGGCCTGTCTGCCCCGCTGTAGACCACACCGTCACTCCCTGACCCTGCCGCAGATTAGCTAGGTGGCTCGCGTTCAGAGCATCAGATGAATAGCCGCAGCAATCAAATGCAAATACGTAGAATTTAAGAAGCCTGCGTCCCCCCGGGGTCGTGAACAGACGGGCTCTCTGTGAGCGAGCGTGTCTGTCTGTGGTCACTGATGAGGTAATGACGGCAGAGGGATGAAGGGAAGAGATAAAGTGCTGTAACGCTACACCTCTGCATGATGGACACCCAACACTTCTGTGGAAGAGCAGGATCCTGCATCTTCATGCCCAGCCCCGCAGCCTTTTTCCTGGAAAGGGGAGCTGCTGTCCCCCCCCCAGCCAGAGCTCCATGTAGGCCCCCCGCAGCGCTATTACCTGCTGGACGGAGCTCTCCAGCTGGATCGCAGGGCTCATAATTATAATGCAGCAGGCTGGTTAGATGAGATGCCGTGGTAACCTGATGCAGGTATTATTCTCCGGCCCTGCTGACGGCTGCAGGTAAGAGGAGCCACCTGCTGAAACGCTAACCCTCGCCGCTTCTTCCAACAAGAAACGCTGCAAACTGAAAGTGCTAAACGCCAACACCCGATGTGGCCGGGCTGACGATGCAGCCACTTACAGCAGGCTTCAGCAGAAGAGAGCAGGGTGCCTGCCAAAACCTCAGAGAAAATGAGGTTTTCTAATCATTTAGATTAGAAAACCTCATTTTCATCAACCTCATTAACCTCAGATTAATAGTTCCTTGTATGTGAAGATTGTCCCTTATTTTCTTGTTTTATATGATTGTAAAATATGATCGAAAGCATTTAGTTCTGACACAGCTGACAGGGATGATAATTGGCAGGTTCACAGACCTGACGGTTTCTGAAGCCTCAGGATGCGGATCAGAGGTAAAGCACGGACCGCCTCGTCCTTCCCAAACTAGCAGACTTGAAACCAGCAGCTGACACCATTACGACATTTAAAAAAGCCTTC